TTGATGTGCTATTCATTCCTTGACACGACTTGTTAAGTCTCCCTTAGTCTGACCGAAATAGTTTTTGTCACAGTTCATACAGGCTTATTTAATATATTCCCGACTTCTCATGTTCCAACATCTTGGCTCTAGGAATAACTCACAGTTGTTAAAGTGAACAACTTTTCGAATATACAGTCTGAGCCGTTAGTCTATTCTGGTTCATAGGGAAGGAAAATGAACTTTCGATCAAAGTCTTTTTGAAAAGTCAAAGATTTACGAAGATCCTCCCCAAATTCACATTTACTAATCAACTTGTCTATTATTATAGTTGAATAATCTAGTGAGATATTCTGAGTGAATGTATTTGCCTTATCACTGTTTTGGATAGTTAACAAACTCAAATGACATTACGTTTCAGCAAGATGACGAATCTCCCCATTGAAACGGGGCGCTAGACAACCCGATTTGACATTCTTAATGTTACACAACCGCAGTCAGTTTCACATCTCAGGGATGCTCCTAATGAAGTTAGGTTGGATTAGGTCTGAAGTAAGTGGATCTATTCCACCCTCCACCGTAACCCGCAAGAGTTTATTGTGGCTCACACCTATTCACATTAGGCCAAATAACCCCAGCTTCGTAACGAAGCCGATTAGTTTATATGGTGAGTGGTCTTTCAGGTCAGAAGGTAAGAGTACGGATCTGCCGAACTCTGAGAACCTGATTCGGTCCCCAGCGGGCCAGGCACAAAGTATATGCTCTGCTCTTTCATCATTTTCCAAACAGAGGCGACACACACTGTCTTCCGACAGTCCAAGTCTCTGCATATGATGATTGAAGTGACAGTGATTCGTAAGAAGGTCTGTTAGAAATCGTAGTTCATCCCTACTATAGTCCAACAACTGTTTGGTATCAAGCTTCTAAGGGTGGATAAACGCTTTGGAGTGAGCCAATCCTGGAAGATTCTACCAGAAGTCTATAAATCTTCTTGCCATCCAGGTGTTCAATGTTTGTTTGGCTATTACGCCGACTAAGATGGAAACTCAAATTAATTATTGGAGCGTAATAGAAATAACTCAAAAACAAAACTCTAAAATCTAAATTAGTCAGCCGGTAGAGGGTTGGTGGGTAAAATAAATTATTTGACACTAAAGATAACAAAAAAATAAATATNTCTATAACTTGAGAAAATCAGAACCACATGTTCCACTTTGATAAGCCCACAATAAAAAAGGAAAAAGGAAACAGATAGATTCTGGAGGTCAAACTAGGAATATTAGTGACATTTCATCAAAGTTGAGAATACTGAAGATGACATCCTTTCTGTCAAATTTTGAATATTTAGCAGGGTTGGATCTTTTAGATAACCTCTATCCAAACAATAACAAACTAACCTATATCAGAATGGAAAGTTAAGAAATGGTGATAAAACAGATAATGTTCTTATTCTTTTCGGAAATTCACAATGAACTAAACTGGTATCTTGAATGAGAAAGCATTCAAAGTAGACAAAGTACTTCTTGTGCTGATTGAACATTTTTAAAAATATGACTTTATTTCAGATATTTTTCTGCTGTGCAAGATCACCGAGTGACTTCAAGTTATTCATCCTGAATGATTTAATACATTTTATAATGTTTTGGCTTACGAGATCGCTATTAAAGTTATGAGTCAACTAGGAGGTATCAGTATAATTGAACCCGGCAAAACCCAAAGTGATGCCAATGACAGGTTCTGGTCCGATGAAGTCGCTTGCAGCACCCTTCTTTAAATGAGAGTCAGCAGCTTCATTACCTTCCCGGCCAGTATGACCAGGAATCCAGACCACAGGCAATCTGTCAAGTGTTTCTATCGAGGAGAGTTGTTTTTGGCAATTTGCTACCAATTTAGACGTTGTTTGGTAGGAGCCAAGAGCTTTCAACGCCGCTTGACTGTCCGAGAATATTTTTATTGACATGTGTGTGAGGTTGGATTTATCCAATCTCTCCGCACATAATTCAATAGCGTAAATTCCCGCTTGAAATACTGTCGAATAAGTGACTAGGCAGGTAGATATCTCTGTCCTGGGTCTGCGACTGAAAACACCTGCACCAGAACCGGAAAGTGTTTTTGATCCATCTGTAAACCAACAACTATCTGCTCTTCCTAATGAAGTTACTCAAAACATGCCATAATGTGGAAAATGAATTTGTAGAAAACTTCATTATTGTTGAAAGGTTAATGGTGAATATTTTAAACATTTTTTGAGTAGCTATGAAACAAGATATCACTAAACTGATTCAACACAAAAGTTATCAAGCCTTCTCGACAAGTGACACATTTTTTATTGAAATTTTGTCCGACCTTGTTCATCATTTCGTTGGATGTTTATGTCCGCTATGTATTCATTGAATTAGTTTCTTTTTTCTAGATATACGACTAGGAAATAGAATGTAAAGTAGTAATTCGTACAATCAATAATTTCGTCATTTGAAATATTGTGAAAAAACGTTCTGTACCAGGATTAGAGAGTATTATGAATTTTTTTTATAGGTCGTCCAGCAGCATTCTCTTTCGATACATAACATTTTTCCTGCAAACATTTTTTTATGCAAAAGTCTCGAATGTTTGATACCTTAGTTATTTCTGTTACTTTACTAGCAGGTGCAAGTGTGATTTTCTATTTTTTTCAATACATACCAGTATATCCGTACCTTCTGGTGGTAATTCCAAATGGAATTAGATCTGCTACTGTCTCTTTTTCGGTACGAATATGTTTATCACCATTATTTTCAAGGTTGCACCCAAGTCGATATTATATTTGAAATTTTTCCGTTCATTAAAACAGGTCCCTGGCTGATTGAATGTTATCATACTTGCGAAAAACCTTCGTCATCAAGCGATTACGTATCCTTCATTTATCAGAACTCTAAATTGTTAAAAATCCATTTGCGTGTGCCTTTACAATACTGAAATATATTGAATGACTCTTTCTCAAAGGTCTTCGAACAGGTGCTTCCGAACTTTGACAATTGATAATAATAATAATAATGAGATGCATTGAACAACTGATACTACTTTGGCGAACTCGCTTCACTATAACATCTGGTTCAGCAAGATTCCAAACAGGGTGAGTCACTTTCAGAAGGGTTGTATTTCAGAGTGGTTCCCTCAGTCCCCTTCTCTTCTGCATCTCACTATTGTTATTATCCGTTGCGCTCAGAAATACTTGAGGAAATAACTGTGGCACCCCCGGAAACTGGAGGCACAAGGTCACCCATTTGTTTTATATGAATGATCTTAAACTTTATGCCTCTGGAGAGAAGGATCTCCATCAATCCTTGAAGGTGGTGGAAGAGTACACACATGCTATCGGTATGAAATTCGGGATAGACAAATGTGCAATGGTCCATTTCAAAAAAGGACGAAGCGGGGACTACGGAGAGAATGTGCAGCTCGTAGATGGAAGCATCCTACACCATTTGGATGCCGGAGAGACGTATACTTACCTCGGGGTGGAACAACGCCACTCACAAGAGGTACCAGCAGTGAAAAACTCTCTCCGCGGCAAGTATTAGCACAAACGTCGACAGATCTGGTCATCGGAACTGTCGGGGAAGAACAAAGTTGCTGCAACAAATATGCTCACCGTTTCGATTTTACTCTACTCGCTTGAAGTAGTGAAGTGGGCTCGGTAGGAGCTGTATCAACTCGACGTAAAGACCCGAAAAATGTTGCATCTCTATAGGAGTTTGCATCCCAAATCGTCCGTTCCACGGTTGTACTTCCCCCGACAACAGGGAGACCATGAACTTTTGAGTTGAGAGTGTCTACATGACAGAATGGTACTGGATACAGCCTATGAAGTCGTCAGGACTTCGCATCCCCTTCTCTGCATGGTCCGTGACCATGGAAGAGCAGGAATTGGAGCATTTCTCTTTGAGGCAGCTGCCCGAGCAGCTGATGAACTCGGTATAGTTTTCGATACTGCACGAGGTGATAACAACTCTGTATCCGAGTTGAAAACCATTTAGCAATAAGCTCATAAAAAATCCGCAGATGTCACCTCACTCCTGCGAAACACAAGGATGAGCCAATGCATGGGATATTCTTCAATAACATTGAAAACTTCAGCTCATCAAAGTGCATGACTTTCGCTTTCCTCAGGTCGAGTGGGCTGAAGTCGGAAACTGAGGGGTTCATCAAAGCTTGCCAGGATGGTGTCTTCAACACCTCAGTCTACCGCAGTCGCGTGATGGGTATAGAGGTTCTTGACATAAGGTGCAGGGACTGCCGCGAGGCGCCCGAGACCATAATGCACTTGCTGTCAGCATGTCCAACATATGCGGTCTCGGCCTATATCCATCGATATAACGCGGCCCTAAGAGTGCTATATTATCATCAATGGCACTCTTACGGTATTGACGAGACATCGGTGTTGCCCTACGCTCCGGGGGATATTGAATCCGAATTAATTGGAACTATTCGTTCGCCACCCTCAGGCTCATAAAAGCGAATAAGCCCGATGTGGTCCTTCTCGACCACCAGAGCAAAACGATATTTGTTTTGGAGTTTTCAGCTCCTGGCGAGACAAATATCGGCAGAAAAGAGGAGGAAAAACGGATGAAATATCGAGATTTTCTCTTCGAACTTCGCAGATTCTATCCACATCACTCTGTCAAGATGGTTGTTCTGATTATTGAAGTCCTTGGTGGAATGATGCCCTCTCTACTCTCGAATCTTAAAATCATACCGCCTTGTCGCACTAAGGCAGAAATCTTAGCCGCACAGATGCTGTGCTGTCATTCTTGGATCACTGCGCTTGCTCAGGGCACATGATTCTCTGTTACAATGATCACTTACCCCACGGTGTGGGAAGAACGACGACACAAATGCATCAGAAGTTTTTTCAAACGAATACAAAATTATGATGATATCTTACACATACTTTATTTCATCTAAATTTGATGAGCGAAAGCGCTTAATGATAGACCCCTTTATATACTGAGTGATGCAGACTCATAGTACATCCCACTTTCATTCTTTATTTCTTCAGGTATTTTTACGTAAGTGAAAATATTGAATATGCTCACGAATAGGAACTTTTTGACGTGATGCGGAATTATGTTCAACTTTTTTCTTTTTCTGAAATATCTTCAACGTTTGATTTTCAAAGGAAACATCTTGTTTTTCATTACATTTTTGAAATATTTATCTGAATACAATGTTACCTTATTTTTGATATTTGAATAACACATGGTTCGGTCAGGTATCTATTCCAGAAAAAGTTTCTATCCGTTATCGGAATCTCTAGAATCTGATCTCCAGAAAATGATTGTAGATATTAAAAATATGAACAATTCGGTTGATGACAGCTTCATAAATGAATTATTTTCGAAATCTCATGTCACTTTGAGTTTTCTCCGCATCTCACGTATCATTTTTTCAACAGGCAACTTGGCAATTCATGAATATAGACAACAAAATTTTGAACTTTCTATAGTCACCAATATAATCACAAAAAATGACCCGAATTTCAAATATAAATTTGCCCCAACGAATCTGAAAATGGAAATTAAGGATAAAAAACATATTCTTCACTCTCACAAAAAAATGAGGGCAACAATTCCCCATTTCTTCATTACCCAGTGTTTTCAGTCACCTCAATTGTTATGTAAGAGAAATGTGCATGACTCACTCATCCATCCGATAATACCTGAATGTATACTCACTTCCAAAAACAGCCAAATATTGAATCGACCTCTCTCTGAATTTGAAACGACTGAAAATGGTTTTCATGATTTTTCTACACAGTCGCGACACAGAATGGAAATTTTCAGCGAAGCACGAAACCAACATTTGCCTTGTTAATTTATAAGTGATCAGCGCTTTGGAAACAAAACCCTAGAATATGAAGTCAATATCTTCACCTGCAACAAAATGGCGGAACATTTAATAATTTCCTGAAGACAAACACATTAATATCGATATTTCTAGAAATATTCCTTTTTATCTGTCATATGGAAATTCCAACAATCCGATAAGGTTTGTCAAGCTATTTTTTGTTTATTAAAACGACAAAAAATGTCAGTACGACATGAACATCATTGTTCAGTTAGAATATTCTCATTTAGTTTTCAGTTTTACTAGTAGAAAGGTATCAGGCTAACAATCTCAAAATGGTCAATTCTCATCCATTGGAAAAAAAATTGAGGCGATTTTTATTTACGGTACGACGCGTAACTTTCACGAGGTCGAAAGGATTTTCAATGAACGTGTTCCGAATCGTCATCCGTCCATTCGGGAAGAATAGCAAGTGCAAATAATTGGTGAGATGGTAGTAAATCTTGAACAGTCTACTTATTCATTCGCGAATGTTTGTGAGGTGTCTGTGTTACTGTGTAGAGACTTTTTAAGAGGAATAGATATCAACTATGGTACAGAATGGCCAGCCCGCTCGCCAAGTTTGACACCTTTGGACTTTTTTTATGGGACTCTTCGAAGCAAAAGGTGTACGAAACTGAACCTGCTTCATTATTGGATATACGGCAGATAATAATTATTATTTGTAGAGATATTGATGTTACAGTGTTCGAAAATGTTCGGCGTGAAATATCGGACAGGCTGTTCATATGTCAATAAGTTCAAGGCAACCACTTCGAGCTCCTTCTGAACTGACCTCAAGCTTATTACCTCATATTA